CTTTATAAATTTGAGATCTGGCACAGTGCCTGAAATGCAGTAAATTTTTAATAAATATGTACTAACTGAATGGTTAGGCTTGTCAGTGAAGGCTAGAAAAAAAGACTTTCAGTGATATACCCAATATTATTTAAAAATGTGAATGATAGTGAAAGTAACCATAAAGATTACTGATATCCCATCTAATTCAGCATACTGGGATATTCACACCTTTCATTGTCTGGGGAGAATGCAAATGAAATTGGTCCTGTGGATATTGACCAGTTTTACATCTGTGATATGTATTTCCAGTATACATTATTACATATATATTACAATATACAAATATTATATACATTATTATCATTGTGCTTTAATACAAATGACATATCCTTAACATCATGAAGTTTTGTATAGTTTGTCTGTGTGTGCATGAAAGAACCATCCCATTTTGTTGTTTTTTTCTTTTCTTGGCATTTTTTGAATCTATACATCAGATAATGTCTATAATGATAGCAATATTTATTTCACCCTGTTTTTAGTATTGGCTACAGAATTGGTAACATTGAAATGGTGCTGGAAAAAATGTATACATGGTCAAGTAGACAAAAGAACCTTCAATCCTGGGCAACCATTTGCATTGTAAATCTGAATAATACAGGTTGTAAGTTTGTAACATAAATAAATGAACATTTGTTTTTATACTTTTTAAAGGAAGTCTAAATATACTCAGCTTTGGAAATATCTTAGTAGAATTAGTCATACCCTTGTATGACATGCCCAGGCACCCAGAAGGCATGAACATTTGCACAGCTGCTGAGAAGATTCATACTACCGACTTCAAATCTTGCCAAAAGGAAACTTACTTCAGGAAACTGTGAATTTCTTTATTCCAAGTTCCTTTAAGTGTAAAAATGGAAAATAATTTTTCCACAGACGTTTTTTTTCAGAACATGAGATTAGAGTGAGAAAGTCCTTAATCACTGTTACTATACAGATTTATCCTTCTGTTAATGATAAATCAATCCAACAAAAATGGAAATTGAAATATGCAGAAAATGTGTTACACTGTAAAATAACAGCAATAAAAAATAACCACTTTAAAAAAACTAGTGACTATTCATATTTCATCAGTTTTTCACTAAAAATTTATCTATTACAGGATCCAATTCAGAATCTCAAATTGCATTTAGAAATCTGTCTTCTGAGTCTTCTCTAGAATGTAACAGTTCCTTAATCTTTCATTGTCTTTCATGACCTTGATATTTTTGAAGAGTACTAGTCTGATATTTTGTAGAATATTCTTCATTTGGTATTACTGTGTGATGTTTTCCATGATTAGACTGACTGATATGCATATATCTGTACATGCCATATATTACTGGAAAGAATACCACAGAGTTGATATGACCTCATTTCATCATATCATGTAGTAGATCATGATAATGTGTTTTTTACTAGTGATTTTTAATCTTGAATGTTTATAGTAGAGTCATCTAGGTTTCTTCACTCTATCATTAGTATTATACCTTTTATAATTAGGGAGATCCATATTTTAAGAAACATAATTTGAATTGATACAAATATCCCATTTCCTTATAAACTTTGACCTACTATTTTTTAGCATCTCTTGGTTGATTTTGCCTGTAGTCCACATTGCTGAAAATTTTACTTGTGATTTTATATTTTCCTTGTTTCTTCTATAAATATTAAATGGAATTCTTAAACTTTGTCCCATTCCATCTCTTATTTGTTTGTTTATTTATGCAGTTACTTATGGATATTTTATTTTTTGAGGTGTAATCCAGTATTATAAAAGTGCATTTTATTGCTCAAATGGTTCCATACTTTCCATTTGTATTTCCTTCAAGTCGATCCCTGTGCCTTTCAACCCTTGGCTTTTTTTCTTAGTACCAGAATAAGCTCTGGGATCATCTTATAGTTTCCCTGCCTGGGTCTGAAATCAATTACTTCGCCAAAGAGTCCAGATTCTTTTATTAGAGTATGGCAAATATCTTTTTAAAAATTAACTGATTTCATAAATATTTCACTTCAAGACTTTCTATAAGAATTTCCAAATGTTTCATTAAGTGAATGTGATTTTATTAAGATGTCTCATATGTTTCCATTAGAAAAAAAATAAATAGATTAACATAAATGAGGAGGTATCTGATATTGTGTTCTGTGAGACAATGTACTCTTCAAGAACCAAAGCAATAGGGAAAAAGAAAGATTATGATTTTCCAGAAGGGCAGTCAGTACTTCTTGAATTGTAACTTATAAAGCATACTGTGGGAAGTGCTACAATAAGTAAAAGATGTGACCACTGCCCTTAAGATGCTGTGCTGTCACAGTGAGATCAGGATAAGCATTTAACAAATGAATAAGAATTCAGGTACCATGGGATCACATAGATCACACACTACATTTTACTTCCATGTCTCAACATCATACATCTCCTTCCATTACTTTTATTGAATCTCCTCTATTGTCAAAGAAAGCCCAAGCTTTTGAGCAACATCTTAAATCCAATTTCCTCAAGAATTTTTCTTTCATGATTTGTTTATTCCTTCAATATTTATTGAATATCGACCATGGTAGCAACAAGGCAACTAATATATCTTCCTTGATTTTATGAAAATTTTAGGCCACAGGAACCCTACCTCCCTGACTAATCTAGCTCATACTGTCTTGTTTTGTTTTTGTATGTGTTTCATTTTTTAAATTCTGAAAATACCTATGTGAAGAAATAAACTTATGAGAATATGTGTAGTATTTTCTGTTTGCATTGTTTTCTGGTTAGTTCATGTTTGTTTACCTCAGCTAATCACCTTAGAAGCTTAATTTGTTTCAGTAAAAGGTCTGTATCATTATTTCTTGTATCCTCACAACACTGACCATATCAAATGCATCTACTAAACAGATTATAAGTCTCTTGGCTTCAAAAATCTGCTCTACCTTTTTAATTGCTAAAAAACTGATCGTACTTCATACTGGTATTGTGAGGATGAAATAAGCTTCCATATACGAGTAGCATTTTGAAAGGAACTTGGAACATAGTAAACATTTAATGTTATTAATTTTAAAGTGAATTTATGTGTAACATTGATATTATATATCACACAGAGCATGTATGATGTTATGGGTAGCACTGAAAAGGAGAGTTATGCAATCAGATTTGGATAACTGAATCTTAATTATGGACCAAATGCCAACATTACCCTTTGACTGACAACTCTTCTGTCTTTGTTCAATATTCTCAAACAAATTTAATTTTCTTTCTGCAAAAGCACTTGAAGAAATAGATTTTTAAATATAATTATTTTAAGTTGCTTATCATCCTTGAGTTCTACCTACTTAGTGAGAAATCAGTGCTGTTAGGCTCCAAAGGCAACAGGGAATGCCTTCATCCTTCTAGTTGCCTCCCTCCATAGGGTTTGGGCTGTCTGTCCAACTGAGAGTTTCAAAGATGCACAAAAATGGCATTAAATATTAAATGTCTTTTAATTATTGCTATTGAGTTTATTAACATACCAAAATATTTATAAAATATACTCAGAGTATGAAGAACAATCACATATTGCCTAATTTAAGCAAGCAAGAAATACCATGAATTTAAAGTCATTTGTGTGCCCTATCTTCATGCCATTGTTTTCCTTCTCTACCCAAAATACCATTTCCCCAATTTGTGATTTCATTATTTCACTATTTTCCTCATAGATTTAGAAATCATATTGTGTTCTTCAATTTGTCAAGTACTGCATAGTCTGTAACCTTGGATAAATGAAAAACATTCTGAATGTGTACTGTTGACTTCTTTTGTTCCCTAAAATAAAAATGTCAAAATTTATCCATTTTGCTATCTGCAACTATATTTTATTCATATTACTGCTATGAAAAAAATCTAATATATGACTATACCCTGGCTTATTTTTCCAATATATTAGTCATAGGAATTTTCTGTTCTTTTGAATTTGCTTTTGGTTTATCAGTCATCCTGTATGATTTTAGTACCAATGGATAAGGGCTTTATGGTGAAAGAGTAGAAGTAGTATTATAAGAATAAGTTATCCAGATCTATAACATACTGTGTTATACCATGTCTTTTATGACATGTAAAGTCTCTCATACTTTGCAAATGTAAGAATTTTTACTAAATTGGACAGGCTGATATTATAAGGTGTTAAGTTGTACCAGCTTCAATGTTTAGCTGAAGTCAGCCTCTTATTCAGAACCTGGGGTTGGGCAGTATGGACTGGATCCCCCTCCCTGGAAAAAAGGATATATGCAATTCCTTTCACTGAGAATTCTGATTGTCTCATCAAATAGAAATTTCAAACCAAGATTTTAATATGGGACTAGTTTCACATCTACCCAGTTGCCAATTTCCTTAATTATTTTTATTTTTTAAATTAATCTCTTTATTGCCTGAATTGGTTTTGTATCTTGTCACTATCTTTTTCTTCAATCACTACCCTGTAATCACTTTAATTTTAATTTGTAGTCAGCAGTGGTTTGCAAATCATTTCTTGGTAGGGATGTCAAATAAAATACTAGTCAGTTAAATGAAAATTCGAGATTAACAACAAATAATTTATTAATTATTTTTTAGTAAATATTTGGAACAGAAAAATTAATCATTGTCTCTCTGGAATTCAAATTTAACTGGATCTACTTTATTTTTATTTGATGAATCTGGAAACCTAATCTTTGACATAGATTTCCAGAAACTATTGTGTAACTTTTGCTTTTCTTAATAATCAGTTTTACACCCATTTTTATAGACTCAAGTTTTTTTAATTTAAATTTTATTTTTATATTCCTCATACAATTACAACCCCCTTATTTTGACCCCAGTCCCTCCTTTCCCCACCCCACACACCCCATAGAGTGTCACTGGTTCATAGTTGTTTGTTGATTTTGATATTTTCTTTCTTATAGTTATTCTTTTTCCTGGTCCCTTATTTAAGTTTTCTAGATTCCTGCTAGACTCATTAAGTTTAAAACACAGTTATTCTTACCCTTTTTTCCTCTGGCACAGTACACATCCTTGTGAAGGTGTTCAAGGAATATTCATTTTCTGAAATTTCGACATGAGAACTTAAACGATGTCAGCCTCCATATCAGTTTGGAAAGTGTACAGTTGTTGCACTGGTTGATGTGAGACTCTAGGAAAATAAAGAATGAAAACAATGCAAGAATTCACTGGAAGGTAAATCATACCTCTAAGTCTTTCATGCCATAACATAATGTCACATGGAAGATAGGTACCTCTCACTATTTCACCAAAAGTGACTAGTTGGAGAGTGACTGTTACTACTTTCTTTCTAATGGTAAGATATTCATATTCCTATATTACATTTGGTTTATGCAATATTTCTACTGAGGGAGCATTTTGGACCTATGTTGAGCAAGCCTTCTGTTAAGATGTTCAGAAGCTGTTGCTTCTCCATTCTAGGCAGGTCATGCTCTGCTGGGTGCGGTTTGCAAGACCCCTCATCAGGGGTTAAAAGCCATGCTTCATTAGTAGGCTCACCCCGCCAGGGTTCTCACCTCTGCTCTCCCCAGTTTAAAATGCATGCAGATTATCTAGTGGCTCTGATTCCTGAGTAGCATTTATATGCTTGATTTAAGAGAGTAATGACAAGGAGAGTGATCTTTAGAATACATTACAGACAAAATACAGGACAGTCAAGGAGACAGACCCCAGAAACAAAGCAACTTTAGAAATGGAATCTGAGATTTGAGGAATTTACTGATATTACCTCTGTGAAGCCTGAAACTCTTCAAATAATCCCAGAGTTACTTCTCTTGGGATTTCAGATAAGCGTTGGAGGGATGGTCTAGGAATCAATATTCTTTCTAGAAGCAAGTGAAATCACCTTCAAATGACTGAGTGGGTGTGGGTGTGCAAAGCTATTACTAAGAATGGTGGAGATGTAAGGGGCTTTTATGAAATTCCCACTATTAGGGAACTTAAGAGAAATAAAAAATATAAATTAAAAAGAGTACCTAATTATAAAAATGTTTTTTCTCATTGTCTGAATAGAACATAATCATTGTGGAATAATAATTGAATCTAGGGCAAGGAAGGAACTGAAATTACTCAAACCCCATGAAAATATAAGCAGTATAACAATTTTAGTGCATTCGTATTTGCATTTGTGTATATGTATATACATTTATATATAATAATTAAAAAATGAGACAATCTAACATGTACTGTTATATAACTAATGCACTGCTTTATAAATATACTTAACATTTATACTTAAAATTCATTTTTATATAAATGAATTTAAATATAAATTTATATTTATATTTAAACCGAACTCATGAACTGTTGTATAATATCCATTTTCTAGTTTTCCAAAATTTATTTAACCAATTCTATGATGTTCGACATTAGAATTATTTTGTTTTTTCTTAATTCTTAACATTTCAATTAATACCTTTGTGCATACATCTTTGAACACATTTCATCTATTTTTAAAGACAAATCCCTGTTATATATACTCACGTTTTTTCATACCTATTTCTAAATTGAGTAGCTTAAAGATAGCTCTGGGGAATGTTGTAACCAGAATTAAGATGCCGGTCTCCACAGAGGAAGATTATAAGGCAGAAAAGAGAGAGAAGACTGTCTGTGTGGGGATAATAAAAATTTTTGTGGGGAAATATGGAAGTTAATCTGGGATTAAAGAAAAAGCATTTCATGGTAAAAGAAATAAACCATAGATAATGTTTTGATACTATTGTTATTATTTTAAATCAATTGAAGTTGAAAGGATTTCCATGAGCCACCTGGATAGAAAATTATCCCAGTTACAGTTTCTGTACCAAAAAGTTTTCTCCTATCTAGATACAAAGAATTTGTCTCTGGTGGTGTTTGATTAGTAGGATGATCCTGTATAATTTTTAAACCTAAATAAATTTGCCTTTACAAGTTCTCTTTTTTGTACCAAAAATGCTATTACTGCTGAGTTGGTAAACAGCTTCTCTTTCCACTTTCAGTATATTCAGAGAAAGTAGAACAATAGACAGCCTTTGCTGCTCTTTTACAATTTTAACAAATTGCCATTTGTGTGTGTCCAGGCAAATACAAAACTCCTCCTTTAGCAGTGATCAAAACCTAACAACAAAGGCCTGTTGATTGACTAAGTTTTTCAATTTCTAATTAGCAAATTTTGTTCTTACCTTTATAGACACCAAAAATAAGCCCCTTTTACTTGGAAGCTAAAAGGCAAAGAGCCTTTGAATATCTAAGTTATGACACATACAAAACAAAGTCACGCTAGGTTTTGATGTTTTCTTTGGTTTAAATTTGTGCTGCAAACAAGAAAAAATAACACCACAATCATCAATTTCTGAGTATTACAAAAGGAAATTAACCTCTCTAAAGAAGGATTACCATCTCTTCCAGTGTCGGCTTTTCTTTGTGGAGAAATAAGATTTTTTTTTAAAGCATTTTAACAAACAACACAAAGAGGAAATAGTAATATGAGCTTTTATTTAATATGTTCAAATCATTATATCAGATATATATTTATAGAAAGATAATTTTTTCTTCACAGAACACTGACAACAGTTCACTTGTATTAACTCTCAATTCACAAAGAATAAACTGAACATAATGAAACTGAGGGTAAAAATAAAAAACAAAAAACCAGAAACTTGCTCATGGTCACATAGTAAGTGATAAAAACATCATTTGAACCCAGATAGATTTCATTCTAATATTTGTGTTCTTCCTATTATTCACATTGTACTATTATAATGTTGAGTATGAGATGGGGACTTCAACCTTTAGTAACTAAATGGATTCATTTTCCTTTGAGAAAATTTTTTTAAAGATTTATTTATTTATGTATACAAGAACTGGGGTACAGGCCAGAGGTGTAGGGGGGTGAGAGGATTCACCAAAGACAGAGTGTGGAACAAAACAGGCAGATTGACTGAAATGCATTGCGGAAGGGAGCAGTGGCCGAGTCAGGAGAGGTCTGCTGCGCCATGTGGGCTGCTCCCTGGCTGGCTGGGGAACCGAACTCATGCTGCAGAGGCTTCAGAGGCTGTGGACAACTTCATAGGTTGCATCCTAACCCCAGCGCCACCAGGGAGGCCCTCCTTTGGGAAATTTTTAAGTATAGCAAGTAAGTGTTACAAGAAGAGGTTGAGAAATTTAAATTTTCTCTACATAGCAAAAAAGCATCTTACTAGGCTTGGAATTATTTTACCAATGATATAGAACAATGATATATATTCCTGAAAAAGAAAATATGGCCAAATTTGCATTTTAAAATGTTGACTCTTATTCTTTGCTGCATGAATGTAGTATGTCTGAAAAAGCAATAAAAAGATTCTGGATGTGGTCTTGGTAATGGGAAACAACTGGGTAATTTAGGAGATATTCTCAGGAAGAATAATGGGATTTGATCGTACATTAACTTGTGGGAGTAACAAGGATACTAGACATAATTAACCATAAGTTTTCTACCTCAAAAATCTAAAAGGATTAGTGGTAGGTGTTACTATTAGCAATCAGGAGGTGACAGACAAATCAATGCACACACCCATCCCACACAGTCCTTGGCAGGGAAGAGCTTAGTCCTTTACCCATAATGGGATATTATTGGGAAATATTTAATATTTCAGTATTTGAAATTTGGAGATTATGAGATTATTATCAAGGACCTGAAGTTTTTTCATTCTAGAATGAAAAACAAAAATTACAGTGTCCTCATTCATAAAAATGCTCATTTCAAGGACTGCATCAAAAAATCCTGGTGAGAACTCACCGGTGGTGCAGCAGCGGGTTGAGTATAGCACTGTGAAGCTGTCCGCAGCCTCCGTAGCATGGGTTCGATTCCTGGCCGGCCGGGGAGATTCCCTCATGGCATGGCAGACCTCTCCTGTCTCGCCTGTTGCTCCCCTCAGCAGTGTCTTTGGTCCACCTGCCTGTTTCGCTCCCCGCTCTCTCTGGTAAATTTTCTCACCCTCCCATGCCTCTGACCTGTACCCCAGTTCTTGTATAAATAAATAAGTCTTAAAAAAAAATCCTGGTGATATGTGAAAGTAAATTTGCTTGGAAGTAAAAGTCATTTCCTCATCATAGACACAAGTCAATACATTGTACTAAAACTTCTTAAGATGAGGACTTTAAATTTAATCAACAAGAGAAACCAACCTGCATCAGTCAGCGTCCTAACTTTCTTCTCCATTAGCAATTTTAACTTGCTCTCATTTATATAATGTATCCATCCTGGTTAACTGCTTGACTTAGGTTGGGTTTAGAAAGCCACAAACTCACCTCGCTCTGTATTTTCCTTTTTAATACATATTGTTGGGTAAATTGACGGTAAGGTAAGGGCTTCAACCATATTTGAATCATATAAAATGAAATAAAAGAATAAAGGAAAATATTCTGATGTGCAGGTCACCTCTCTGATGCATTAAATCAGAATCTTTGCCCATGACATCAGGATATTGGAATTTAAAAAACACTCCCCAGGAGATACTGATCTATAGCCAGAGCTGAAAACTAGTGCTCTAAGGAACTGCCATTCTAGAATAATATATACTTCTTTCTTTCCTTTAATCTCCTCTCCTAATTAGTCAGAAACTGATGCTCTGCATATTAAGGATGATAACATAATGCAGCATTTATGTTCATGATCCTGGTGGATGATACACATTTTCTCTGTATACGCTACTTCTCAAATAAAATTTCTACCATTAAAACAAACAAAAATAGAACATTTATGACTGTGTGGTTAATTCATCTTTATTTACATTTCAATATTGGGTCACCACATTTTGTTTTAGAAAATATTTATCACAGAGTTTTATGTTTTACAGAATTAAATCTGCAATGTGGATCCATCAGCAGGTTGTTACCACCTCCTGGGGTTTGATTGGCAGGAACATGTTTTCCCGTGGAGTTTTGCCAGTAGCATTTGTGTACAACAAACAAGGCCAAGTTTCAGGAAGGGTTTGGGCTGGACGATATGACAAACACTTTGGCAGAAGCTTTCATTATTAAGCATGCCATTGTGAATTATTAATAATACTGCATTAAGAGGTCCTCGAAACATTGAAATGGTACTGTGAGTCTTGCAAATGCTTACACTTAATGTATTATTAATTATATCATTAAAAAATATAATATGCA